TGCGCTTCAGTCACAGCCCATATCCCTAATCCTTTAAAAAAAAATTTTTTTTAAAGAGAGAGAGAGAGGGAGGGAGGGAGAACTTTTTAATATTTATTTTTCAGTTTTCAGCGGACACAACATCTTTATTTTATTTTATGTGGTGCTGAGGATCGAACCCAATGCCCCGCGCATGCCAGGCGAGCGCGTTACGGCTTGAGCCACACCCCCAGCGCCTTTTTAAAAATTTTTGAGTCAAGTTCTTGGTAAGTTTCTTAGGGCCTAGATAAATTTCTGAGATTGGCCTTGAACTTGCCATCCTCCTGCCTCCGTCTCCCAAGTCACATTTCACTTTCATGGTGTGCAACACCATGCCTGTTTTCTTCTTTTTTAAAGATCTGATTTTATTTATTTATATTGTTGTTGTTGTTGTTCTTGTTGTTATTATTATTATTATTATTATTCTGGGGATTGAACCCTGGGGCACTTTACCACTGAACTACATCCCCAAATCTTTTTACTTTTTATTTTGAGATAGGGTTTTGCCAAGTTGCTTAGGGCCTTGCCAGATTGCTGAGGCTGGCCTCAAACTTGCAATTGTCTCAGCCTCCTGAGTTGCTGGGATTACTATTTGTTACTTTTGAAAATTCTTATTTATGAAGCTCTCAGAGAGGACAGTCTACATCTCAGCAACCTGTTCCTGGTGTTTTTCTTTGGCTTCTTTCATTCTCTTGGCCAAAAATTTGGCATTTCCTATAGTCTTAGTCTTGTTTTTCTTAGTATGCTGTTTTTCTTTTTTTTTTTTTGGTGCTGGGGATTGAACCCAGGGCCTTGAGCTATGCAAGATAAGCGCTCTACCAACTGAGCTATACCCCCAGCCCCTCAGGATACTGTTTCTTCAGAGCATTTGTATTGCAGGACATGTGGAGTAACAAGATGCTGAATCTTTGGTACTTTTTTATTTTTTTAGGTACCAGGAATTGAACTCATGGGCATTGGGCCACTGATCCCCATCCCAGCCCTATTTTGTATTTTTTTAGAGACAGGTCTCACTGAGCTGCTAAGCACCTCGCCATTGCTGAGGCTGGCTTTGCTCCTGTCTCAGTCTTCCGGGCCGCTGGGATTACAGGCATGTGCCACTGCACCTGGCTGAACCAGTCCTTTATGTTTTTTATTTTGAGACAGGGTCTTGCTAAATTTCTTAGGGCCTCCCTAAATTGCTGAGGCTGGTTTTGAAAGTCGCTGGGATTATAGTTGTGCACCACTGTGGCAGGAACAAAATATCTTGAATGCAGATTCTCTAGCACCAGCATAGTTTCACATAATGATCACAGAAAATATGATATAATGCTTATTATTAATTATTATCTGTAATATCTTTAATTAATTAATTAATTATTTAATGTGGTGCTGAGGATTGAACCCAGGGCCTTGCACGTGCCAGGCGAGCACTCTACTGCTGAGCCACAACCTCAGCCCCATGTTTATTATTTTTTAAGATGCTCGTTTTAGATTAATTGGTGACACAGCAAAACAAAACCAATATAATCTGTTAGATTCAAAAACTCTGGGAGCTGGGGTTGTGGCTCAGTAGTACAGTGCTTGCCTGGCACGTGTGAGGCACTGGGTTCAAATCTCAGCAGCACATATAAATAAATGAGTAAAATAAAGGTTCATCAACATCTAAAAAAAATTAGAAAAAAAAAGCTTTGCTCTTTCCATGATATCAAACTGCTTTAAAATTTTTTTGGGCTGGGCATGGTAGCATATGCCTGTAATCTCAGCGGCTTGGAAGGGTGAGACAGGAGGATTGAAAGTTCAAAGCCAGTCTCAGCAATGGTGAGACACTAGACAACTCACTGAGACCCTGTCTCTAAATAAAATACAAAAAAAGAGCTGGGGAGGTGGCTCAGTGGTTGAGTGCCCCTGAGTTCAATCCCTGGTACCAAAAAAATTTTTTTTTGTTTGGATTTTTAAATACAGGGATTATGGAAAAAGTAGTTCGGAAATCCCTGTGATTAAAAAAGGTTTTGAAATACATTTAGTGCTTTCTGACACAGAGAGAAGGAGGAGTGTCATCTAGTGGTTAAGCTGAACTTTGAGAAGTAGGAGGATTTCTTTTTTATCACTACCTGGGGTAAATTGAGTTAGCATGAAGAAATGAGAAGTTAAAATAGGTGTTTTTGACGACTGGTAGACTTTGGCTGGAGTTGGGGAAGAAAAGAAGAGACATCAGAGCTGGCAGGCCAAGAAATGTCCTGACCTGATGAAGTGGGTTAGTACCTCCAGGGATGTCACAGTGAGGGGCTGACTGTCTCTTTGCTTGCCCCTTCTCTTCTATTGGGCCATCTTTTTCTCTGCTCCCTTTGACCTTAAACTCATTGACACATTTCACATTTCCTTCTTTTTCTGCTCTTTTCAAATCCTCTTTTCTTGTAATAATCTTTTCCTTTTTTTTACAATACAGTATATATGTGTGCATTAAGGAATTTTGTTTTTTTTAATTTATTTTTGATATGGGGGATTGAACCCAGGGGCACTTTATCACTGAGTTTCATCCCCAGTCTTTATTTTTTATTTTGATACAAGATTTTGCTACATCACTTAGGCTGGCCAGGAACTTGCAATTTCCTACCTCAGCTCCCAAATCTCTTGGGTTACAAATGTGTGCCAATGAACCTGGTGGCATTAAGGAATTTTGTTTGCTTGTTTGTGGTGCAGGGGATTGAACCCAGGATCTTGTGCATGCAAGGCAAGCATTCTACCAACTGAGCTATATTCCCAGCCCAGCATTAAGGAATTTTAAAAAGAGAAAATCACATTTCTTTTTAAAAACTCCTGGCAGTTTTTCTTCCTTCCATATTGCTCAGATTTGTTTACTGGAGAGGAGGCAGTGTTTTTGGTAATTAAATCAGATAGGAGTCACTGGCAATAATTATCTTAGGATGCTAGCATGGGGAGAAATCTCAAACGTCTGGTACAACCTGCTTATTTTATATGTGGAGAATCTAAGAGAATCAAAGAGCTCAAGTGTTAACAGGTATGAATTGAATGGCTACATTTATAAGGACACTCTCCTAGGTTTGAATATTCTTTTAAGTGGCCATCCCATTCAGATTAGTAAAATGGGTGGCGTGATTTGCTGTGGTCCTCCCAGATTTCCTACTAGGCAAGCACAGAAACACCAGAAAGAGCATTACACCAGTCAAACCCTTCCTAAGATGTGAATTGACTGTCAACAGCTGGGAGTTAGCAAGAAAATGTTGCCTGACCCATTAAATTTTTTCTTTTTACTTATACGTGACAGTAGACTGTATTTTGATATACATGCATGGAATATAACTTCCCATTCTTGTGATCGTACATGATATGGAGTTACACTGTTGTGTATTTATATATGAACATAGGAAAGTTATGTCCGATTCATTCTACTGTCTTTTGCATTCCCAACCGCCCTTCTTTCTCCCCATGCCCTCCCCAATCTGGTGAACCTCTACTCCCCCCCTCCCCATTGTGATTCATCATCCAGGTATCAGAGGAACATTTGGCCTTTGGTTTTTGAGGCTTATTTTACTTAGCACAACAGCCTCCAGTTCCATCCATTTACTGGCTAATGCCATAATTCAATTCTTCTTCATAGCTGAGTAATATTCCATCGTGTATATGTATCACATTTTCTTTATCCATTCATCTGTTGAAGGGCACCTAGGTTGGTTCCATAGTTTAATTATTGTGAATTGAGCTGCTAAGAACATTGATGTATGGCCACATCATTATAGTATGCTGATTTTAAGTCCTTTGGGTATATGCCTAGGAATGGATAACTGGGTCAAATGGTGGTTCCATTCTAGGTTTTCAGAGGAATCTCCTTACTGCTTTCAAGAGCGGTTGCACAATTTTGCAGTCCCACCAGCCATATATGAGTGTATGCTTTTTCCTACATTGTTGTCAACATTTATTGTTACTTGTATTCTTTTCTTTTTTTTTTTTTTTTACTTGTATTCTTGATAATTGCCATTTTGACTGGAGTGAGATGAAATCTCAGTGTAGTTTTAATTTGCATTTCTCTAATTGCTAGTGGTGTTGCACATTTTTTCACATATTTGTTGACCATTCATATTTCTTCTGCAAAGTGTTCAGTTCCTTTGCCCATTTATTGATTGGGTTTTTTTTCTCTCTCTCTCTCTCTTTTTTTTTTTTTTTTTTGGTGTTGATTTTTTTTATATATCCTGGGGGCTTAATGCTCTATATGAGGTGTAGGTAGTAAAGAGTTTCTCTCATTCTGTAGGCTCTCTCTTCGTGTTCTCGATTGTTTCCTATGTTGTGAAGAAGCTTTTTAGTTTGATAAAATCCCATTTATTGATTTTTTGATTTTACTTCTTGTGCTTTAGGAACCTTGTCGGGATAGATTTGGACCTATTTTTTCTTCTAGTAGGGGCAGTGACCCATTGACTTCTTAACCCACCTTAAAACCCATCTCTATGGCTCCCAGAGCCCACTACAGGGTAGACATCAATATGCAATTGCATAATAATAAGAATGAACCAACTTCCATTAGAGGACCTTCCCTGCTTCCCCTCCTGTATCCTTCCTAATTTTGGACGCAGCTAGCATTTGAAGCTCTTTCCGAGGCCTTTTGGGGCCTTGTTTGACCTCCCCAGACAGTGACACCATCCTGGGCAGGACCAGGGCTCCCCTTTTCAGTGCGGGACACAAGCCGGGCTGGATAGGCTGCTCACTCATCTCACCTCTCGCATTTTTCCTCAGGGTGGGCGCATTGTTTTGCGGGGTATGAAAGCACTGAAAATGGCCTAAACTGTCCTGGGAACCAACTACAGAGATTCGGGAGGGTGTTTACCGTCCAACTCCCATCCGGGCGGGTCAGCAGACGTGCCCGCCTGGCAGCCCAGCCCCAGGCAGTCGGCTGGGTGGGCGGGGCCGGCGGGGCCGGGGGGCGGGGCCCGCTGCTGTCAGGTGACCCCGGGCGGGCGGCTGCGGCGGAGGGGCGGCAGAGTCGCTGAGGGGCCGACGCGCAGGCGGGGAGGTGTGGGGCAGTTTGGGCAGTAGGGCAGCAGCCATGGGGGGCTTGAAGGACGAGCTGCTTAAGGCCATCTGGCACGCCTTCACCGCGCTGGACTTGGACCACAGCGGCAAAGTTTCCAAATCCCAGCTCAAGGTGGGCGCCCTCGCCACCTCCGGGGTGGAAGCAGGACCCGGCGGGAGGCCGCGGCTAGGAGGGGCGGGCCGGGTGCGACCGAGAGGCCTCCGCGTGGCGGCGTGGGCCGAGACCTGGATTTGGCTTTTTCTGCTTCCTTTTCGCCTTCGGGGAGAGCCGTCGGGCGGGCGTGTTAGTTCCCATGGGGCTCCCAGTGAGCTGGGAGGGGCGAGTCCGATTCCCTGTTGGGCGAGGGACTCGGAAAGTTCTGGACTCTGAGATGGTGGTGGGTAGGGTCCTTTAGACGACTTTCCCAGAGTTTCCACCTTACTTGGCAAAAGGACGGGACTTGCCCAGGGTCGCTGGGCAGGGCCTTCTGCAACCCACAGCTCCACACGGGGCAGTCCTCCAAACGACCAGCTGCACCTGCGCCGCCAGGGCAAGTTCAGGGAGGGGGAAAACCAGAGCCCAGCCTCCACTGGTCGTCTTTAGGAGGCTTGGGCGGTGAGGCAAGCTTTCTAACTTGTGAAGACCTCCCCACCCAGCGTCCTCAGATCTGGAACTAGCCTAGAGGGTGTGTTCTGACCCGCAGGGGGGACTTTGTTCCGGGTGGGGAGTACTGATTCTTTCTGGCATCTTGCAAAAGCTATTGCTTTTGCCTTCGTTTTTGTGGCTGCCAAAGACCTCCTCACTAAGAGTGTAAGGTATACATAAAGGGATACTTGTAAATTGAGTAACCCCAAGCAAGGAAAGTGGCACTCAGCCAGGAGAAATTGGCAGCTTCTTCAAAGTGTAAAATATGGAAACAGACAAGAGGATCCATTCACTGGCATTTTCAAATATACACATTTTGGATCTGAATGAGTAGTTAGCCTGTTCTGAGAATAAATTTCTGAAGATCGGGTTTGCTTTGTATATTTTGTGCAGTGATCAGGAAGTTCTTTTGAGTAGTGGCTTTTTATGCCAGTAGGACTTAGCATTCTCCCTTGTCTTCCTTTTGCCAGCCTCTCTTTTACTCATTCATCGAATCATGGTTTGCAGCTCAAACACATGTTTTTAATTTTATTTTTTAAAAAACATTAGCACACAGTGAAATCGACTTTTTTGGTGTACAGCTCTATATTTTAACACTTGTAAAGATTGAATCCTATCACTATTACAACCAGACTTCATAGTTACATCATTAGTTCTCATGTTGCCCCACCCCCACCCCAACAGCTGGTAACCACTGGTCTGTTTTAGTTGCTATAGTTTTGTCTTTTCTATTGGATCCTATAATATGTAACTTTTGGAATGGGCTTCCTTTACTCACTTTGTTTTACCTTGTTATCGCTAAGTAACATTCCATTGTATGGATGTACCACTGTTTACCTGTTCACCCTCCAAGATTTGTGTTATTTGCAGTTTTTGGTGATTATGAATAGAGTTGCCTTTTACTTTTTACTGTTTTTACATTTACAACCACTATATTTAAAGTGGATTTGTTTTAGATAGTATGTTGCCGGGTCTTGTTTTTCATCCATTCTGACAACTGTCTTTTAATTGATATATTTAGATTATTTCCACTTAATGTGATTATTGATGTAGGGCTACCATATTGTTATTTGGTTTGTTTTTTCCGTTTCTCTTTACCTTATATTATTGGAGTATATTTTATTATTCCCTTTTAAAAAATATTTTTAGTCATGAATGGACACAGTAACTTTTATTTATTTGTTTTTATGCCGTGCTGAGGATTGAACCTAATGCCTCACACATGCTAGGCACATACTCTACCACTGAGCTACAAATCCAGCCCCTATTATTCCATTTTAATGCTGAGTTTTTAATTAATCTCTGTTTAGTTTTTTTTTTTTGTGGTTGCTGTAGAAGTTAACAACATACTTACCTAAAGTTTCATAATCTATTCAGAATTCATAAAACCACTTTAAGAGGAATATAGGAACTATATCACCATATATTTTGCTTTACACTCTCTGCTTTGTTACAACTGTCATGTTTATTAATTTACATACATTGAAAACCATCAATGTTGTTTTTTTTTTGCTTTCTATCAGCATTTCTATTTTAAAGATCTTAAGAGAATAGTTTATTCTTTTTTTCCCAGATCACCCCTCAGGTTTGTAGATATGATTGATAGATGAAGCTTCTGAGATGTTTAGTGATTTGTCCAAAGTCACCGTTTTAAGTAGTTAAGTGTGGAGCCAAGATTTTTACACTTTGGGTCAGTGTTTTCTTTCTTTCTTTTCCAATTTATGACATTAGGGCTGGGGTTGTAGATCAGTGGTAGAACGCTTACCTCATGGAGTTTGGTCCTCAGCACTACATAAAAAGTGAGTAAATAAATAAGAATAAAGGACACAAATGTCCATCTTTGGAAGAAATTCAAGCTGCTGCCAATTGATGACATAAATGTTCTATTATTTTTGTTGTATTGCATTTAAAATTGTCTTTCTTGCTGTTTATAGAAACAGTGCTTAGGGGATTCTTTTTCCTTTCCTTTTTTGGTACTGGGGATTGAACCCATAGATGCTTAACCACTGAGCTACATCTCCAACCCTTTTTTTTTAAATATTTATTTTTGAGTTTTAGGTTGACACAATATCTTTATGTGGTGCTGAGGCTCAAACTCAGGGCCTCATGCATACTAGCCGAGTACTCTACCACGGAGCCACAACCCTAGCCCCCATCTCTAGCCCTTTTTAAAAAAATATTTTAATTTTGAGATGGTGTCTCAAATTATGTAGAGCCTTGCTAGATTGCTGAGGCTGGCTTCGAACGTGGCAGTCCTCCTGCCTCAGTCTCCCCGGTCGTCATGCACCACCACACCGGGTCCCAGATGATTTTTTTAAAATACATTTATTCTATTTATTCAGTAGTATGTGGTGCTGAGGATCGAACCCAGGGTCTCACATGTGCTAGGCAAGCACTCTACAGCTGAGCTATAGCCCCAGCCCCCCAGGGGATTCTTGACAGCAGGCTTGGGAGGAAGTATAAAAACCCCCCAGTTCACAGCTTTCAATCACAAGGTGTTGTTAACATATCTGTGCAGTTGTATTTTCTGTCTCCCTTGTCTACATAAGAGAATTTGAGATTAATGATTAATTCATTCATGTTCATCTTGCAAATGTTTGTGGAATTGAAAATATTTTAAAATTTGTGTAAGTTTCGCCTCCTCCTCCTGCTCTTCCTCCTCCTTCTGTACTGAGAATTAAACCCAGGGTGCTCTACCATAGAGCTATATCCCCTGTCCTTTTACATTTTTACTTTGAGACAGGGTTTTGCCAAGTTCCTTAGGCTGACTTTGATTTTGAAGTTCCCTTCCTTTAGCCTTCTGAGTATTCTTTAGGTGTTTAACTCTGAAGCTTGATGTTTCATTAACTAGGAGTGGAGTTTTTGCCTTGATTTGTTGATTCATTCATACAATAATCTTTGTGAGTGTTACTGGGGATTGAACCCAGGGGTACTCTACCACTGAACTACATCCCTAGCCCTTTCTTTTTTCATTTTGAGACGGGATCTCCCTAAATAGCCTAAGCTGTCCTTCAACATGCAATCCTCCAGCCTTAGCTTTCTGCATAGCTGGGGTTACAACTTCCAGAATAGCTCTGGATTAATGTCATCAAGCCTGGCATTGTTAACCTAATTTGATTGATAGATGCCAACTCATTATTTTATTGTCATATTGATTTGGTGTTGTTATGTTTGGCAGGCTTGGAATACAGAAGGCCACTAAACTTAAGTGATTAAGTTTTTTACAGTTGTATAGAGATCTTGAAGTAGTTGTCAGTAGGCTAACCGTGGGGAATGAAACCTCTAGAAGCACATTCTGTATTTGCATTTAAATTTGTATTTGTGAATGTTCCTTTCGAGAACAAACTGTATAGGTTGTGTTATTCATTTTGAATGCAACCCTATTATTATATCTGGTAACTGAAAGGAGATTGAAAACTACTGAGATTGAAACTTTTTTCAAAAAATATTTATTTTTTAGTTATAATTGGACACAATACCTTTATTTTATTTATTTACCTCACATTATTAGGTAAGCATTGAGCTACATACCCAGTCCCCCAGCCTTTTATATTTTTATTTTGAGATAGGATCTGGCTGAGTTGTCCAGGCTGGCCCTGAACTTAAGATCCTCCTGTGTCAGCCTCCTGAGTAGGTGGGATTGCAAGTGTGTACCACTGCACCCAACTATACATTTTTAATATTTTTTTTTATGGAGGGACAGATGTTGTTCCTTTTAGGTTATGATATAAGTCTGCAACAGTCATAATGGGAATAGGTATAGGTTATATTATTTGAAGTAGAGGCAATAATTATTTTTTCTGCTCTTTAAAAATTATCTTCATATTATTTAGTACTTCAGTGATATTGCTGAGAGTAAATCTCCAATGTCACTTAGAAATACATGTAATTCCATGAAGATAGAATAATGAAAGTTATTATTTAAACAAATATATATTTAAAAGGAACTTTTTGAACAGTTCATATATACACATGGTTTAAAATTCAAAACATTCAAAAGGGCATTTACAAAAATGGAAAGTAAGTTTCTCCTAATCCTTAGCCACACTAGTCCCTGCCCTTTGGGGGTAAATATTATTTTCATTTTCTTATATTCCTTCCAGAGATCACAATGTGCCTTAAAGTTAATTCTCTTATAGTTAGTGTTTTCATCTTAAATATGGCAAACTCTAGTGATATTTTTGCAACTTATAACTTTACTTTGCAATTGTGGTTGGAATGTGAATTACATGTCAGGGCTGGAAGTGTCTTGAAATAAACTTATTGGCTCTGCATTTTTATCCTGGTTTTAGAAACAGCTTTTTTAAAAAAATTGTACCTTTCTGGTGTTAAAAGGCTTACAACTAGTGAGGATCTAAATGGAAACAATTTTTAGAGGAACAATGTGGGTAGTTTGAGGCTTTATTATTTTCTTTTAAGTTTTTTTAGTTGTAGACAAACACAATACCTTTATTTTATTTATTTGTCTTTATGTGGTGCTGAGGATC